AGAAAAGCTGGACGCCAGCCTTCAATCACTGTATCACCACAGCAAAAAAAAACAAAAAAAACAATGAAGTCCCCCTTTTGATTTGTCTGTACTTGATACAAAGCTGTACTTCAAGAGTATCCCTTAAAGTTCAGAAGAGATTGTTTTAAGGAAAAGATACATAGACGGTAGCTCTGTGATTTCGAATAAGAGGTTTCGGTACAAAGAAACAAATCATTTAAGTAATACTCATTTTTGAGGTTTGTCAGAGAGGGGCATTTGAAAAAATATGTTTTATATTTTAACAGCTTCCCTCATTTAAAGAAGAAAAAGCAAATAGTGTTTATTTTAAATTTTTTGATCTCAGTATTCTTTGGATCAGATCTTTCTGATGGAGGAAGTGCAGCTGCTGTCTGCCTAAAAGAACACGGTGTCAGTCGCACTTTAATTTAAACAAAATCATATTTTAAACATCCGTTTCTACTCAGTGGTTTCTTCCTTCATCTGCTTTTAGTTCGTGTTTTTCCCCCTTCACATCCACAAAGCCCTCTCCCCTTACCATAACCATCATGATTAAGTGCTTTACCGCATCCCGTCCCCTAACCTTAACATCTAGCTAATTCCTGCCAAAATCCTAAAGCAAATCTCAAACCTCAAAAAAATCTTTGAAAGGGTGTGAGAAACTGAGGGCTTCACAGTTTCCTTCACTCTTTGGGCCTAAAACCGAGGCAGTGCCCTCATTGGAATGGCTGCGTGAACACATTTGCACACACACACACACACACACTCCTGAGTCTTAATAGCGTTGCAAGCGAGCGTACAAAAGGAACAAACAGCCATGTAATGTGGTGGTTCCCTCTCATTGACACTGGGCACTGGAATGCGGCTTGGAGAGGGGGGGGGGGGGGGGATCAGTGTGCATGTGAGCGTGTGTGTGTGTGTGTGTGTGTGTGTGGGGAATGTCCATGTGTGTGCCATCCTGTCACATTGGCCTAATGATTAGCATTACTGAGAACTGACAGCAAGAGGAAGGAACAATAAGTGTCATTTATCCTCTTTTTTCTTTCTCTCTCTCTTGCCCACTCACTTTTTTTTTTTTTACCCCCTGCTTTTAATCTCTGACCCTCTGCCCCCACACACCCCCCCCCCACCCGCCCCAACACCAATCCCCGTCTCCCTCACCGTCTGCCTGCCTCTCCTTTGATGGTTTTATCCCCACACAGAATAGATGAGAACATTTTGTAAATCGAACTGAATTAAAAGCTAAATAGTAACAATAGAGAACTGAAAAACTGTGGAGCTCAGATGATTAAATATATTGACAGCACACCCCCCTCCCCGATGGCCTGATTTCCAATACTGTCATGAGGTCTGCTGATGGTTGGAGCCATGGAAGGAGTTGTAGAGAGGAAAACGGAAAGCGAAGGCAATGGTGAGAAAAAAGGACAAAAAGAAAGAGAAATGGGGTGTAAGGAGGACACAGAGTGGACACAAAGAGACTTTAAAGAGAAGAAGAAACACTGTGTGCTATAACCTGCCCCCGGTTTCTGTCTGAAAGTCAGAAACTGTTGATCTTCATGTTCCATACTCAGCATGCGGTGCTTTGAAAAATGCCTCCTCAATCTTCAGCTGAAAAAATGCCACACAATCATTTGGAGCTATGAACATCGTTGTATGGGAGAAAATGACCAAAAACATATCTTTTTTTTTAGTCTGTATGAATGTGTGAAATCACAATCACCATGACATGCCACATCCAGATGGCACAGACTGTGAAGAAAGAAACCGTTTGCAGACAACATCCAGAGGTTTTGCTGCTCCCATGATCACATATCGAGAAAATATATTTGTTTTTGCTTAGAGAGAGAGAAAAAGAACTGAACATAGAATATTTTTTGTTCAAATTAAATATCTCAGATGTCAGTCCAGACGATGAATCATCCTCCTTTTATCCTATCACCACTGTTCAGGGTCAAAACGTAGGGTCGAAACTTAAAGCATCTTGTTGAGTGTTTGTTACCTGGATGCTGAGTCCAAACAGTACTCAGTGGAATGAGGACAGGTGCGATAAGAGCGTCCTGTTGTGGTTGTGCCCGCGCCAAATGCTGCCGAGGGAATGAGATCACTGTTTGTTTTGCCACTGTACCGTGGAGGCCCGACCCCGCCGTACTTTCAAGCCTCCCTTCAGCTCGCCTGCTCGCTTGTTCTGGTCTCCGTGGATGGAAAGTTTGAGAGTTTTCACTCAAGGATGAAGGGTTTTGAATTTGATAATTATGGGCTCCGCTTGAGATTCTTTCCAGAAGGGATGCGCTACGGCACGCCCGTCACCGCGCTGCCACGTCTCTGCCGTGACGAGACTCTCGGTGACCAGGTCAGTCTCGTCTGGGCTGATGGGAATCAAACAGCCGGGGTTAGATAGCACGAGGTGAAGTCAACAATCAGGACGAGATCAGACAGAAGCAGATTCCCCTGAGACAGCCTCTCCATTTACAGAGTCAGTGACGTGTCAGCACTGAATAGTTCACCTAAAAAAAATAATAAACTAGCCCGAATGTCTTCTCGCCTGTTTTGTCTGACTGTAGAAGTCCCACCAGTCTGCACGATTCAGCAATTGTTCTCTATTCCCCTGTCTTATCACTACGCAGTCCCCATACTGCCAAGACCAGCTAAGAACCTCAACGGAGCATAACTGACAACATGTTGAGTCATTTCCTGGACAATAGTCTCTTGGCAAATAAATAGTTTTTATTTGTCCTCCTGTGATCTAAGCTGAGACTGTCCTTGACGTATAACTGTCACACCTGTTAGAATAGCATGACCTGATCCGCACCAGCTTAAGAACACACACACAATGTATAAGAAATTACATAGTAAATATCTTTATGCACTAAACAAAACAAGGTTTGACTCGACATTGAACTGATCTGTACACCGAAGTGTTCCATTGTGACAGCCAAAGGCCGATTGAGATCGGGTCCCAAAAAAGGGCAATGACACCAAACGCAGTTTCTCTTGTTTCCTGGACAAGAACAATGGACCGGGAAACACAAGAAAAAGCAAGGTGCTGCCGTTGTGCCGTCCCACGAACTGATGCAACCAAGCGTTTTCGTCAGGCTGTGCAATCTTAGCGGCGTTTCACACGCTCCCTCCTGAACTTTGACTCAGTTCTTGCTGAATGAATAAGGATGTATTTTCCATATTTGAAGAGCTGCTGAAAAGCAAACGTGTTTGTCCTGCCATGTACCACTGTCGGATCCAAATACAGTTCTTGTTCTTTTCCATTTGAAGACAACAGGGACAGTGTTTGGTTTTGTTTAGTTTCTTTGGTGTGTGTGTGTGGATTTACTTGTACTCTAACGCTTAAGTTGCCAAGAGCTGAGATCTTCCAGCTTGACTGACAGGGAGCCTGGGATAGATCGGCTTGTACGCAGCTGGTGTGAGGAAGACCTGATTGAAACCATGAAGCTTAAAGTCTTTGTGCAAACATTCCATCAGAATAGCAATACAGTATTACCAAGAATCACTCTTTTTTTGCTGGAGTGGCCCCATGGTGGGACCACATGAAATAAGGCTGTTCTTCTTTTTGCTGTGTGGTGCCGCCATCCTCTTTTTGCTTCAGGGCTGTCTCGCAATGCGCGTAGCAGCTTTTTTTTGTGCCACTTCTCACAGTTTGCGCGTGTCTCTACAGGCTTCAGTAACTTTTCCCTAACTCCAAAAGCAGAGGACTTGGATTTTGTAAAAAGACAGCAGACAGAGAGTCCCGCACAAAGCATCTGACTCTGACTGAATTAGCGGCGACGGCCCCCCGAGCTTCACAGAGCGGGCACTTTTGATTCCACTGTGCCCGTCCTCCTTTATGACCGGCTCAAAACGTGACAGCCGAATTCAAACCAGTCAGCAGCTCCGATTCAGATGTCAGGAGCTGGTGCGGTACCTGCCTCTCTCATCTTTTGCTCTCCGTGAGCGATGGCAGTTAGCCGTGTGTGCGTTTGGCAGAGTGACAGCGCTGACTGGTCAATCCCGGCCCGTCATTCATCACGCTGTCATGGAGACGGCGGCTAAGAGGCAAGTGTGGCAGCCCTGACAGAGCCTCAGGCCATCGCTCCCGCCGCGACAGACACCGAGCCGTGCCTCTCAGGGAGACGAGAGGCACCTCAGCTCAACAGGTCCTAATCAGTCAAATTTCACTTCAGCCCAGTAAAACGTTTCCCGCCGCCGGGTACCGCCGGCCGGCTCTTCACTGACCGAGTGGCACTTCCTGGCTTCATTAGCGGGCCTCCATTATATTGACCTTGATCGCTTTAACTCTAATCCTTTCTTAATGACCGCAACTTTCTCCGAGTTGTTTTTCTCTCGGCCATCAGTGTGATGTACAGACCCTTTAAGACCTCACTGCGTTTGACAAAAGAAAAAGGCATACCAGGTTTGTGTTTAATCTTTAAGGTGCAATAAAGGGCTGCCTGGAAAGTGAAGTCAGGCGATATAGAAGTTATTGGCATGGCAGTCAAAGGAAGGGGGGGGGGGGGCTGTGGGGAATAACTGGCCCGCTCTCCTCCTCCCACTTAGTTTTTGAGTGTCACTCAATCTTACGTACAATGGTTATCAATCTCATGTGAGCTGTGGTGCTCTACCCTGCTTCAGTCATTCAGAAAATAGAACAAAAACAAGGGGGAGGAGAAAAAGGGATTTTTGTTTTCCTTCAACAGTTGGTTAGGCACAAGAAAAACAATCTAAATCTTGTCAGATGATTTTGTTCCCTTTTTTTTCCTTATTTCTTCCAGCGTTTTTTTCAGAGCTGGACTTTTGCTCCGGCAATTGCACAGTAACTAGGAAAAAAAAGAAATAAATAAAAAAACAACTGAAATGAAGCATATAAACGGGTTCCAGTCATGTGAGGCCACGGCTAAAATCCTATATTCACTTTAAAGATTAGTTTTAAACGAGCAAATCACTCAGCAGTGCCCATGTGGCATTACCCAACGTCCCTGCCAATATTCTTTGTACTGTCAAGCAGAATAACAATGAAACACGGTAAGAATGAAGCAGCCTGAAAGGAATTCCAGCCATCTCCAATGCTTCGGGAGGGAATGCCGGCGGTTTTTTGCAGGGGTTTCAAGAAAGCTATGGAGACAAAAGACTACCAGATAGATTTTTGAGTCTTCGTCTGCAACCCTCAAGCTGAAAGTTTGGGTGGACCAGTTCCATTTTCCATTCCGCATCTCATATAAAAGAAAGTCATGCAGGGCGGATTAGAACCTGAACTGAGCTATTCCTCATGCTATTTCCTAGTGCTCAGTCATCATTGAACCTCTCTGGTCCTCTCCTAACATTAACAGCCTGTGTCGTCGCGGATATTCCTCGAGGCCTGAGAACAATTGAGTAGCCAATATGACTTCCAGTCAGGAATGCTGGAGGTGAGATTTTGTTTTCAAGCCGCACTAGGGTTTGGTTTTATTGCCTGTGAAGCGCAACTTGCTATTCCCGAGCTTTGAGCTAGATTTACCATGTCAGGTGATGAAGTGAGTGTGTTTGTGAGAGCGGGGGTGAGAGACGGGCCACAGGGTATTCTAAGTGTCCAAGCATAATGCTCGCCTTCCTGTGTCTGGCCCTGAGAACTGAAGAGGTCAGCGCGAAGCTTTCAACATCTCCTCTCCCTCCACATTGTCCTTCGATCTTTGAAAAGACAATTTGTGTTTATTGCTGCTTTTATCTCGGTTAGATAATAACATCTCTCATTGGAACGGAGTTAATTAGTCATCAACGGGGCGAAATTATCGAGCAGGTGAGCTTTAATTGGCGACAAAAGCATTCTTTAGCAGATAGCTAAACCACTCCAACAGGCACTCTTTGTTCTATCTCTCGCTTCCCACTTCTCATTTATCAAATCCTGATGCTCTCATAAGGTATTCATTTTCCTCTCATTCATTCATCCCTCACACGGCTGTTTCCAATTGGCTTAGAGACATTCTTGGGATGCCAGGGCATCGTTGTTTGGTGCAGGGTGTGCATATATGTGCTCCGTCCCCTATTCATCCCCTTAAGTTGGACATCTGTGGCCGTTAGAGTGGATGGGAAGATGAATAGTTTGTCAAGGAGTAGGATGTGTTTTAAACTCATTGATATGAACACATATCTTTGCATGTCATTGCAACTTTACATAGTGAGAAATTCCTGTTTAGGTTTCGGCATACCTTTAATGTACCTAAAAAAAATTAAACAAAACACTACAATTACATTCACATTCACATTCAGCTGGTCAGGGCAAAAAGTCATTACAGTGTCTCTATAACCTCGTCCTACAGTCTTATTTACATTCCTTTTCCTCCCGTGGCACATGGCTAGGCTAATCTAAAATAAAACAACACTGGCAGATTTGGTCAAGCGGAGACCAGAGACAGCCTCGTAAACAGGTTATGCCAACCAGAGCTGCACAGAGCTCCTCAATGGATTCATTTCCAGTGAAATTTATCGTATGGAATTAAAAACATGTATTAGCGTAAAACGATGTGCTTGAGAGATAAATGGACAGGTAGATGGATGTGTTAGATGCCATGCTGTTACACCCTCAGCTTGTTTTCCCGTCTCTTAACCATGTTAGTCGAAGTTTTCAGCCTGTCAGATTGATTCCCTTCAAGCAAAAATTTCATCAGGTGAAATATGAGAGGGGTGTGTAATCCTGGGAGGGTGGTACATTTGTACTTTTATTGGGGCCATACACCTTATTTTTCTTTTTTTTTCTTTTTTCTGATCAGTGGGCAAATTGGAAAAAGGAAAGAAAAAGCATGTCTTAGCTGTAAAAGCAAAAAAAAAAGTGCTGCAAAATAAAATCCCTGCTAACAATCACGGCACCAAACTAAATGAACACGCACCACACACACTTTGATGCATACGAGCACACACTCCAACACAAAGCAACAGGGAGGTGACCCACACAACTAAATAGCAATTACTACAGTGTGTGCAGCCTAGCAACCGGGCTACTGGATGCCATTGTCCCGCCGTCACATTTCGGAGCATGTTTGTGAGTGTTTGTAAGCACCCTCCTGTGACAAAGATCCAGATTTTGGCCGGACCTAACATTTTTACGTGGCAGGTTTAGACAAGTGCTGCAGAATAAGGGAACGTTTTGATATCAATACGATCATCAAATCTAATCTGTACAAAAGTAAAAACTCATCCATCTTGGGCTCTTCTAAATTTTTCCTCCTGGCTCTCATATATTCTGTTTCATAACACAATGGATCCTCCCACAAACCATCAGTTGTCAGCACACACTCTTAATAGATAGTTACAAATTATGATAAGCATTTGTTTCCCCTTTCATGAAAACACATTTAAACATATGGAGTACATATACATACCTATATTAACCCCCCTTATAAAACATATATTATAATAACCCCCCCCCCCCATACACACACACATATTTATTGATGTTTCGTTGCTAAAATTTTTACTCTGGTAGCCAAGAAATTGACATTTCGTTGTCTAATTCACCTCGTGTTTTTGACAATGACAATAAAGGAAGTCTATTCTAGTCTATTCTATTCTATATTCCCCAAACCTACAAGAGAAATTCTAATTCTAAAATAAATTCCAGGTGTTCAATTAAGTATTGCATTATTTGCTTTTCTCTGCCTTGCAGTCGTGGGGATTGTTTGGAGCAGTTTGCGTTGATGATTATCAAAATGATAATTATCAGACAGTTATATACTGATTGGTAGTTAAACAATGTGGCTGTGGGACTCAAGCTGGTACATTTGCATCAGTGCGTTCCACTCAACCTTTTTGCAATCCTTTTTGGCCTCATTAGCATTCATGAACCCTCGCCTCTAACCCATTACCACTTAAAAGTAACTCAACTAACCACTTGTGCATGCCCACATGCGCATGCATACAGGTGTATTCTCCACGAGGCCAACAAAGAGCATCTTCAAAATCCCATTTGATTTAGCTATTCAAACCATGATGATGAAAGCAGCACGCTAATTCAAATAACATTTATTCATGAGCGGTGCACTTTGTGTCATTGACTTGGGTGACATGACGGAGTGCGGATTCACTAAAAAGAGAACAACACGCACAATGTAATTTTAATTTGAATTATTGTTTCATTTGTGTTAATATTCATGCCGTCTTTGTTCCCCTTTTTTTTGACAGGTGTGTTATCCCTTGTTGTTTCCGCCTCTGTTTCAAATTCTGTTCGCAGTGCCAGAATAGCGAGCTTTTGATATTCCAACATTACCGAAGCATCTGCGCAGATGTTCGCCGCTCATCTGGATGCACGTGTGTTGAGTCTGTAGAGGTTATGGGGAACATTACAGAAATCTGTTTAGAGAATTCAGTTTTACTTGCCATTTTTTATGTGTTTCCTCAATACGTCTGTCCTCTCTCCTCTACATCTACACACACCTCCATTTCCCTCTTGTCGTTATTGTCCTCCTTCCTTCCTTCTTCATGTTTTTCCTCTTGAAAACCTCTTCAAGCTAGACTCCCACAATTGCAGTTGCACTTGGAAAATTGTCTGTACACGTCAGGTTTTATGCCTCATTATGATTATTTTTACTGTGATTGAACATTTGTTCTTTGGTGTGAGGGCCCTGCTACTTTCTCTTATATTTGACCTGTAAATGGCAGAGTTGCTAACGATGCCGACTCTTTTGAACCCACATAGCTATTTAGGCCCTGCTTCCTGGCAGACTCCTCAGTAGAAGCAGCCCTTTCACGCACCATTTTAGCAGCTCTCATAACTGGAAGCTGAACTGATTTCGAGAAGTAAACATCAAATAAAGCAGTTCAAACATGGCTGCCATGATCACACACCTGCGCTCATCCTCTGTTTTGTTTTCCCTCACCAGCCTGCATCGTATCTGTCATACCCATCCGCCCATTTTCTCTCCGTCTCTTTCCTTTGAGCTTCCCCCAAGTTCTTAAGAAGTTGAGTTCATTGATTGGGCCTAATTCCACAAAGGCTAAGGGATCCGTGTGCGTGTGTGTGTGTGTGTGTGTGTGTGTTGGTATGTGCTGACTCTATTTGTGTGTGGGGGGTGCGCTTGTGTGCGACGCCGTGTAACGCGTGACTTTGACTGAAGCTCTCAGATGAGAACCCCATTGATTGAGATGGCCCCAATTAGTCTCTGTGATTAATTGAGTGTGATTGGATACCCTCCTGGCACCTCATCGTTAGGCATTATTGACGGGGTAATTAGTTGCTATGGTGATGGTTTAAACACAGCAGAATGTGTGTGACAGTGGAATGACCCCAAAGCGGCCCACCATCAAGCCTACCTCGTGTGTGTGTGTGTGTATGTGTGTGTGTGTGTGGCTGACCTCCTGTGACTTTAGGGGAGCTGTTTACATGAGAAGTTACAAATAAAAAGCACGATGAAATATGGATTCCTCAGCCCTCATGTTTAACTAATTGGTCCAGCCAAATGCGGAGGTGGTTACTCATTACACAAGTTTGGTTAAAGCTTAACTTTTGGAGTTTTAAAGGTTTTGAACTGCTATCCATTTTCATCAGCGAAGTTGTCCCTTCATTCATTTTTTGCTTCATGTGACTCCACACATAAAAAAGTCTCAGTAAATACTCAGAGGATGGTTCTACTTTAATGGGGAAAAGGTGATAACATAAATGAATGTGTTAAGTTTTTGTGGGTGACTGAAGTTAATAGGAAGAAGAACCATCCTCGTTTTATTTTTTATTCTTTTTTTAATGAATGTGATTTATTTAATGGATTTGGTCTTTTTTAGTTGAGATTTCATTCTCCCAAAAGCTAATTAATGCACAATTACACAATTAATTGTTAAGTTAAGTTAATGGTTGAGTTAGATGTTATTTTTCAGTGATTTTACGACAGTAAGTAAACAACTAATGTTATGGTCAGGCAGAAGGACAGATAACTGATTCTCATCACCCCTTTGAAGCAAAGACTGGAACCACTGTTGCAAACTGTTATAAACCCTAAAATTCCTACGATCTAAAATTTTTTGCTACACTGTTAAAAAGAAACTGCATTCATATTAATGAAAAGATCGTGGACTGAATCACGAAATTTGTTTGCTAAATTAGATAAGATCATTTCTTATAAATTATTCCTTGCTAACTTCCTAGTGATGAATACTGAAGTTGAGAAGGTTAAATTACAAGATGAAAGAGGGGGTGATTCACATGAACACGGCTGACTAAAACTAAGGAAAAGAGGAGAATGGAAGTGTGAACCAGCCTCCTTCATTCCTCTGTTGCTCCGCCGCTACATTCTCTACATCCTCCCTCCGGCTCTGAATTTTTTAACATTAATGCCCCCTCCACATTGTTTCAGGTTCCTTTCTGGTAATGCTTTGTTTATGTAATTATTTCCTAGATGTGATTTACCGACATCACAAATCCTACAGCAGAGGATTTATATGTATTTGTATGTTGAAGTCATATCTAAATGGAAATAACACAGCCTGTGTAATAGGTCTTCAAATAGATATATGTAAACCCAGAAAAATTATTTTTTTAGTAAAATGGACGTGTAATGTGCAGATAAATTGTGACAGATGTTTGAGCACCTGTTTGTTTGTCTGATATTAAGGCTTAAAAAACAAACGGCGTTCCAAACTCCATCCAGTGGTTATCATTACGCCCTTCCGCTTTCTTGTTCCCCGGCACATCAAAATTTAATTTATTTGTTATTAAAAATTCAAATGCTGTTCGAGAAAACACAGCAGCTGAATAAAAAAGCATATCTAACGAAATGTAGCTGATAAGACAACTTCATTCAAACCAAGAAGCTCTGTGGCATTTCGAATGAAAGTTTTGATCAAGAATGAATTATGCAATCAAGTCATGTTTGATCTGCTGTAGCTGCTCTGCATTACATCAATGTGATGCTTACTGTACAGTATTTGATTTCTCGTTTTTTATATCTGTAGTGCTTTGTTTGTCTTCCTCTGTTTCAAACCTACCATGGCTGTATACTGCATCGTCTCTATTAACCCTCTTCCTCCCCTCTCCTGTTGTTTCCTGTCTCTGTAGTTCCCCCTCGGGAGCCCACAGTCACGTGCCGATCCAACACCTACCCCAAAGGATTCTACTGCAGCTGGCACCAGCAGCGCCCGACGTTCATCCCCACCACGTTCGAGGTGGACGTGCAGTAAGTCCACTTGTTGAGTAAACAGATGCATCGAGGGGTTAACGCCACAGATGAATGATGGATGTCATTATTTGGCTATTAACTGAAAATATGTCCTTTAATAGAAGTTCTCATGTTTGGATTTTTTTTTTTTGCCATCTATAAAGGGAATAACTCAATATTCAAAACTGTCCGCTTTTTACAGCAGCTCATAGTTACTGTGGGTTGTCCAGAGATGTTTAAACAGTCCAACAGATGGAACTTAAATGCTTCAAATAAGTCGATGGAATCTGTTAGGCTCTCTTTGTGAGATTTGTCCCGCAGCTCTCACAGCAACAGCTGCTTCCTTCTTTCCCTTCTTTCCTACCTCAACTCCGCTATGATTTTGTATGAATACTAAAAAATGTGTAAGGGCAATGGAGAGTAATGAGTGGAAACATGAGCTGTGAAATGAACAGCCTTTGATGTCTGGGATGGAGTGGTATGCAAAAAAGGGAGTGATGGGTTTCTTTTTTGGTGTTTTTTTTTGTTTGTATCTTTTGATATTTTATACGCCAACAGCTGCACCATCATCTTGACATCCCCTTTGTAATCTAAAACAGGACGCTGACTGTCACTGGTAACTTTAATGGCAGTTTCTAGAATCTGGATCTTATCTGCGACAAATGAAGTGTTCTATCATTATTCACATTGTCTGAAGGAAATGTGGATTGGGAATGGATATAAATAAGGGCCTGAAGTACATAAAACTTAAGACAGATACAGCACATAAAACTGTCACAAAAAAACAGACAATGTACTAAAGACTATGAGATTCATTACCAGCTTATAAAAGCCTCAATTAGAAACTGTCCTGTTTGTTTAGATAGAGGTAAGGGCAGCAGCTGTGTCTTTTAAACAACCATGCTAACTCCCAGCAGCTCGCCTACAGATGATGGCTCAGGAGCTCGCTGTATTGGTTCAGAACAGAGGAAAGGACCAGATAACCTCTTTTGGATATACAGTTTAACATAGTAGTCGCAGGATGTGTAATCTTGGAGACGTAAAAACATGTGCGCCGTTTTCTTGGACAAAGAGGAAAAGCTATCTATGAAAGAGTGACAAGAAGTAGTTGTCGATAAAAGCTAAGCGAGCGACAGCGGTATCACCGTTGGACTTGCTACATGTTGAAATAGCACTAGAGTGTTTTTTCTTTCCTTTTCTTGTTCATATTGTCACTACCAACTATTTATTTTTACAATACAGAAGGATAACTGACATGATGTAGCTATAGGTCTTTCATAGGAGTGCTGAGTGCTCAGAAAGTGACAGAAAATCTGTACTTGTGCAGCCAAAAAATGGCCCAAGGGGTGTTTAACCACTGGATTGAAAATGATCTTCCATACCAAACGTAAAACATTTTCTACTTGAAAAAAGAAGCCCCCTCCCCCCCTCTTTCTGAACCATCATGGCACAGTACAGTCTCCTTTGGCATTTCTCATGTCTGTGCTTGTTTTTTTCTTGAGCTGTTCTTTTGTCTCTTCAGACATAACCAGCGCTCACTGGAAGTGCAGAAAGACGCGGTCCACAAGAATCGCTGTCATGTGCGGTTTCCAGAGGTTTTTTCCAGCTTCCCCTACATGGTTAACGTGACAGCGATCAACGCCTTGGGGAAAGCTTCCACCACCGTTTCCTTTGAAGAGTCCAGCATAGGTGAGATATTTGTTGTTTCACATTTCTTATTTTTTGAGCGCTTTCTCCAGGTCTGTCTTGCCTTCTCGCCCTTTATTCCTTTTCGTCTGAAATCGGTAGGAGGTGTTGCCGCAATATGAGTTGCAGCTCCGGCTAATTGAAGCTGGGGCAACGCACATAGCGCATGCTTTCTCTTTAGGTTCTGCTTGAAATGAAAAGGTTTAATTCGAAAGGTTCAAAAGAAGCACAGTGGCATTTTGGAAATTTCATAAACATGCTGTTCAATCTGCAGAATATGAATGTATTTCATCAAAGTCTGGCAGCATTTTTCTGTTCAAATTACCCTTCTTTCTCCCACACGGATTGACAGGCATTTGGCAAAGGAAAAAAAAAAAAGCAGGACTAAAATGCAGAGTGTCAAAGCAACCCTTTGAGAATGCCAACCCTTGAGAAACATTAATGCATTAGTTTGACCACAGATGACTGATTTCATTCACTTTTGTGTCCCTTTGGAATCTTTGTTGCACACACAGCAATGTTTGGTGCCAGGAAGACAAAGAAAATTGAAAATGGAGTGGCCAAATAAATGCCATCCAGCTGATAGGAGAATGTGGAGCATTTCTTCTTTGCTCAACAGCAGAGTCCATTAGCGAGAAATTCCCTGAGTGTGCACCCGAGTCCTAACCAAAGACTTTGAATTGTACATAATCAAGCACTCAGCCTTTTGTGAGGCAAATGATATTTACTTGGACTTTGGGTTGGATTCGACAGTCACAAATCAGTCACGGTCATGATTTTTCATAATTCTCAGCCAGTATGCCGCAGAAGCGTAAAAGTTACTTCCTCCAATTGGCTCATATCGTTTCCATGTGGAAGAGGCGCAGCTTCCACAGGGAGGTTTTTGTTCACTGTCGCCGGCACAAGGCCACACGGGGACAGGAAAAACTCTTAGAATTCGCCAGCAACTCAGACCAAAAATCAGTGAAGAGGAGAAATTCATTTTATAGGGAGAATGAGGGCCCTTTGATAGATAAGGGAAGTGCTTCCAGCGGTCCTCGGCTCTGTTGCTTTGCTTTGAGCATGCTGTTGGAGTGCGTGACACATAAACACACACAGACAGCAAGAGACAGTGTCGGCTGAGAGGTTTATGCATCGAAAGGAGAGTGAGAGAGATTGTGTGTGTATACAGAGCCGCATAAGGCAGTGACATGCTCTGCTGACCCCTGGACGCCGGATTCATGAGAACGCTAATGGTAGCCAGATTAACTCCCCTAGCTCGGGATATAACCAGCAAAATAGACCAGTGGCCCTTTCTTGTAAGCCTTGCTCATGTTTCCTCCACTTTCCCATCTCTTGTTTGCTCTCTTCCTCTTGTTTTGAGCCAGATTGTCTCAGACAGTGTTGCTTTTAGGAGCCCGTTTTCTTTCCAGCAGTATGGCCCAACCAGGTTCTCGCTGAAGTTTGAAAAGTTAAACAAATGAGATGAAAATATAACAACGGGTGTATGTTTATTGATGAAAATGTTCCTGCGAGTTGCAAACCTTTACAGGTGTATACGACCCAGAGGTGCGTGAGTGCACCGTCTCAACAGTGGGGATCCACTGTGGAAAGTCAGAGATATACAATGCATTTTTGTGGAGTTGTTGTATCAGAGTATGAAAAGAGAGATTTGTGAGAACTACTAATACCGCTTGATGCTTATCAAGCCGGAACACATTACAAAACCAGCTCCTCAGAGATTAGCCTTTACCGGTCCAGTCTGACAGACTAAACAAATGAAGGAAATTCAAAACTGTCACGATCCTCGAGAGTGATTGACTAACAAAGATGATTTTAAGAACAATGCGTGCTGCGTCTGTAACTTGCCCATCTCACATGAGCTCGTATTAATTTGCACAGCACTTCAGAGCACTGTTAACTAGCTTCTGTCACACAGGGGTTGAGCCATAAAGATGAAACAAAGGCATCCTTGCTAACCTGGCATGTACGCAAGACCATCCCCGATCTTACATACACAGATTTCAAGTGAAATAATGGAAACAAAGTTCACATACGTTTGGAACCGATGCCTGTGTGATGTGTGTGATCATTTGCAATAAGTTTCCATAAATACTTTTTGCTGTTTCACCTAAAACGATGCGATGTGTAAATGATACAGCTAAACTCACTGCACTCTGGCTGATCTCAGCAAGCTGCTTTGTCTGAGCTCTTTTACAACAGCTTGGATCTCCTTTCAAGGGAACTAACATCACAATGCAGATGTTGCCAGTCAGAGGTTAAAGGAACTTATTTTTCATTTCACACTAGGATACATGCCAAATATTTTGCAAACCCGTCAATGAAATCCTCTGAGAGGATTTTATTTTATTTTACTTTTTCTTTATCAGGGACTGGCAGATTTCTCTCACCTCATCCGTTCTGCATTGTTAAAAGTCTTTCTCTGCCATTCTAACTTGTAAGTCACATTCATTTCCAGGGACAACGAGGCAGATCGTAAATAAATAAAACAATTTCATGCTTCCCGGTGCACCTCTGAATTCCGAGTGGGAGGAAGATGATTCGCAACTGTCCTTGTTCATCCGACCAAAGATGGATGAAATTAGATGAGGCGAGAGCGAACGTGCACGCGTGAGGGTCTCCACACACGTGCACGCTGTCGATGCTGTTCACGGTGGGGGAAAAAACACTGAGAGAAAGCCCTTGGCTCATCAAATGATTACTTAAAACACCAGAAGAACAAAACAGTCTAAATGTATGTATCTTTACTCCAAACCTAATTTTGTTTTTAGTCAAATCAAAGAGAAGCCCACTGGCTGTCATCCAGCAGCATCATGTTACTCAGTCATTCAAAGCCAAGTTAATCAACTTTAATGTAATCCCAGTAGTTTATCGTAGATTATTAGATTTTTTTTTATTTTTTAATTGGACCTGAAATAATTTCTCACCTGAGGTGTTTTTCAGTCAGTATTTTAAAAGAGTTATGCCATTAACTCATAGTTAGGGGAAAAAAATAAATAAAGATGAAGTTGCACAGAACATATTAACATGATTCACTGTATGGCAGCAGAATGCTTGTTGGCAACCTTTGACACTTTGAGTGTGGTGAGTGCGCTCGGTAATTAAAATGAAAGGCCACTCTTTATAAAGAGGCTTTGAACTCTGAATGCTGTGCTTAATTAGATTCAATGTTCACTTTGTTAAACACAATTCTGACTCTTTAAACTCCTTAAATGCTGAATTATTCAACTGTTTCTCCCCACAAGGAGGAGTTGTTGTGGTGTAGTTTTCTTATTAATGATCGAAACAGTGCCTTGTGACTTGAACCCTGTTTCATTTACTTTAGTGAGGTCATTTTAAAAAGACATCTGATGGAAACTTATGGACTGTAGCTGTTATTTTTTCCTTTCCCTGGTGTAAGTGCCCTATGAGACCCAGTCGTGCAGCCTATAGATGAAAAGAAAATCCAGATTTTGCTCTTCCAAAACTGCATTTATTTGATAAAAAACTAATATGAAGACTGGATGAAAATTAGCTACAGTTCCAGTTTTGCATCCTTCTCTGTTGAAGTGTGTCCCACAGATGCATTACATCAAAAGAATAGAGAATGTAGATACATTTCCCTGGCTACATTGTGGTTAGGTGGTCAAAGGAAAAACCAGAGGTGCATTCAGACTGATCTGACTGTTGTAGGGAGTGTATGTTTTGGCCGCTTGAGCTGGGTAGGTTGTTCCCATATGTGAAATTATCCGAAGCGAAACGGAGCTGCTTCACTTTTCACCTTGTTCTCAAATTTTCGGACAAAGCGCGCATACCTGTTGCTTGTTTCTGCGGCGGTTATCCCCAGCGCGTCAAAAAAGGAACAGCTGTTGCAATAGGGCACGCAAAAAGAGAACCATCAATGCAAATGACGCACAAATCATACAAATCAAGTCTTTTGAAATTACTAGACTGAGCATGGGTAATTATGCAAGATTGCTTAGAATCTATACCTTTTTTTTCCACCACATTAATTCTGCTCATACATGACACATTCTTGTGTTACCATTTCCATGCTGGACAACTGTGCTTAATTTCCCCCCACTTTGTTTCTGAATGGTGTTTTCTTAAGGTCTGCATTGAGGCCCCCCGTCCTTCCTTGTCTCAGTGGGTTTCATTTTATCCATTCCACAGTAAATCCTTTCTCTCTTTCGGCTCTAGTATGACAAGTAATTCTCACTGAGAAATCAGCCTCCACCCCTGAGGCCATCAAAGGGCCATCTCATCCTAAACTTCATTTTGCTCCCATGACAGAAAGCTAATACTATGAGTGTCTAAAGTCGGATGCATTGCAGACATTTCTTCTTTATTTATTTTTTCCTGTTTAGACGTCTTTTTTCACACATTCTTTCGGGGGGGATTTTAGAAAATGCTTTGCCTGTTCGGGTGAGATTTTTTTTCTTTTTTCTATTTTTTGGTGTGATGATGAGCTAATTAGCAGGAGTGGAGATGACTGTCAACTTTCCCCTGTCTGTTTTGGTCTGTGTGCTGATCGTTTGTATCTGTTGTACACCCACACCCCGCCTTCATGCACGAGTGTGGTATCCGACGTTGAGATTAAAGTTGTGTCTATCCGTTTCCTATTGTAATGCCCTATGTGTATCCGGCCGACATGTAGCTGAGGAGGCAGACCAACGGCTTCCCTTGTGGAAATGATCTAACAAAGACCGGGTCATTCAATATGGTCTGAAAAGCTTCAAATTGAATTCTCTCGATACAGCCGTCTTTGTCTCTTTCTCTGTTGACAAGTATTGAAAAACATATTGTTTTAACACAACTTTTCATTTAGGAGCAATGGCTTCTCTTCTGACTTGAGTTCCATCAAACAGTTTTACATTTTTTACATTTTATGTTACATTTTTCCAAATTTGTATTTATTGATTTTGTTCTAATTCTCCCCAAACTGGATGTACATAGATTGAAAGACCTGTCAAAATCGATTGCATTAAATCTGAGTTAGAATCTCTGGATCATGCAGCTCAATAGCATCTGTCACTACAGCTTTGACACTACCTCTGCTAATACCTTTTGCTTTCATCTTCTCTCATGATTCAACTCCCATAGCCCCAATTTACTCTTGAGCCGCAGGGGTGTGGTGAAGGTTTTAATTAACTGTTGAAGTTTTATATTCGTATTCATACATGGGTGCAGATAAATTATCCCAACAGTTTAAGGCAGGGGTGTCCAACCCCGGTCCTCGAGGGCCGCCGTCCTGCAGGTTTTAGATGTCTACCTGCTTCAAAACACCTGATTCTGATTAAGTGGATCAGTTCAAAGGCTCTGCTAATGGCATGCTGGCACTAATGAGGTGTACTGAAGCAGGGAAACTTCTAAAACTTGCTGGACAGCGGCCCTCGAAGACCGACTTTTGACACCCCTGGTTCAAGGTCTTCATGTAGCAGCAGTGGACGGTACGCCTGTGTGTTCTCAGAGTGTGCGCTGGCACAAATAAAGTGGTTATCGGTGTATCTGCGGTCACCCGCGTTAGCTGACTGGATTTATGTGCCCCTCCGCAGTAAAACCCGACCCCCCTGAGCGTGTGACGGCGACCCCGATTCGTCTCAACACCAGGAGACTGGAGGTGTCCTGGCAGAGCCCGGCCACCTGGCCCGACATAGACAACTTCCCTCTGAAGTACTTCCTCCGATACCGGCCGCTCATCCGAGAGCAGTGGCAGCACGTGAGTACCAGCTGTGTGTTTGTGTGTTTGTGTGTTTGTGTGCATTGCGCGACAGGTAGATCATGCAGGCAGGGATGAGATGCGCTGCTCCCGATATTACAACCGCACGTATGTCCCTGTGTGAGCTGTAGATGTTTTTGTTCTGTGGAAGGCCAAAACATCAAACCCCTTCTTGGTATATATTTTCGATGCATGGCTTTTCTTTATATTCGCCTGTAGCAATGTCGGCTATTTCTCCTCCTGTGATCAGCAACCCTGTCCAAAGAAAATTAAATGGGGAAACGTTAAGAGAGGAAGGGTATCGGTGTCCAAAGAGATATCTCTGGGAACGCTTTTTTTTTAAGCAAAATTATCCAAATTGTGGCTGTGAGTCAGATCCCCAGTCAGGAAGACATAATTTCTCTGCTGCTTTGGTGTGTGTTACTGTATCCGAGTATTTCCTGTGGGCTCAGTTCCCTCTGGGCTCCCCATAGTAAAAGCATATGTGTCCACCATAGAATCCATAGGATGAAAGCTGTGTCTATCAAGGTCTAACGTTGCAGTGTTATTATCCTTTACGTCAGTGGTTTGCTGAGGTGTCATTCCAAGAGCTTGGCTTTCAGAGCCTTGAAATAATCACACATTTAACAGGAATTGGAGATCACAGTGATCTCTTTGTCATTTCACTATGTTCACCCATGTTTTTATCCTTTAGCGTCCATCTTGGCCTGTGTCAGTATTTACATTTCTGTCCTTTTGTTTTGTACTTCATTTCTATCTCAATATCTCTTCCTTTTTTTTTTTTACAGTGTTTCACTTTGGTTGGTTCAAATTATGGAAGTGTTCTTTTCATTCGATTACCTACACCCGTTTGACAGCGTTTTGTAACCCAGTCGGAGCAGAGCTGAACTTAAAGTGTACATGCAACTGAGATAAGATGACAAATCCCCCTGCAGAGGCGTTTCTGTTTCACAGCCAAGCAATAGAAAATGGGTTTACCGCAGTTCAAATTGAGAATTTGATGTTAAGAGAGATTTATCAAGTACAAGTAGGTGCCTGCACCTCAGATGCAAAGATGTGATACTCTACACTCATTTGTGAGTGTGTAAATCAGCTCGATGTCATGTTTATGCTCGATCCGTCTCTCTCAAAGCAGTTGGAATAAAGAAAGTTGAAATAGGGTCTCCATTCTTTGTGGCTGAAAGTGATAATTAAACCTGACACACACTCAGAGTTTTTCTTCCCCCCTCACCACTAATCAATCAATATGTGAGCTGAAGCATATAATGAAAGGTGGGAAACCTTAAGTCAATATTTGGATTGGATAAAGAAACATAATTTGGAAATTGGATAAATATGGCTGATGACAGCTGAACTCTGCAAGGTCTTCCGTCCCTGCGGTGGGATTTGAGAAGTCTCTTTGTGGTTTTGGTCTTTTTGTTTTCGTAGAACGAAGTGCGGTTTTCTAACACATATCGTCTCTGGAACTGTGAGCACTTTATTGCTTTGGGTCTCCGCAACCATAAAGGGCACTAGGCCTCGGTTAACATTGTTGCAAGTGTTGTAAATCACACAAACGATGTGGAGTCTGACTGATGAGTTTGTTCTTTAGTTTACTGAGTGAACTCGGATAGAATTAACCTTAATTCTTGCATTTACAGTGAGATTTGTGCCTAGAGCAATTCTGCTGCCCATTAGTTTCATTAGAAATTAGAGGGGGGGTGGACTAAAAAAGCAAGCAGTTAAAGGTTTGCCTGGTCTTCCTTCCTCTGGATCAACCTGTGCATTTCCTGTGGTTTCTGCTTAGTTGGGTTAACTTCACCTGTTACAAAGTCCCACATGTCTGCACTTAAACCCTATTAAACACAAAATGTAACACAACGGAAAATGTCACCCATCAACACCATGTTGCATCAACAGATGCATTCTCAGCAGTGTTATTGAACTGGTCATTTCACACATTTCTCTCAGTTGACTGACTCACACAAACTGCACCAAGCAGTCAGTACAGCAGCTCATGAAGAACTTTGTTAAAGCTTGTATCATCATCCCCATCTTTCTTCTGAACTAGCCTCTATAGATTTCTTTCCCCAGTTATTAACACTATTATTGCAAATGGTTGGACAAGGCAGCTCCAGACCTGATACTGCCCTCAGAGGGGATTCGTTTCTGCATGTACAAGGATGTGTTGCTAGAAACATTTGGATTGAAATCTAGCCAGCCGGGACATAAATCATTAAGGAGTGCTTAATGAGGCTGCTAAAATAAGATATATTGTGCATTGGCCTTAATGTACCATCGTCTCCGAGGTTAATTGAAGTGGTTTATATTGTTCGGGAATGCACCTTTGATGTGGTTGGAGCGCGGAGCTGCTTGAGAATGGCTTTCACATGTAACATTTTGAAATGTGTCTCGAGTCAGAAATGAAAGCTGTGCCGCGATCAGAGTCATCTTTAGAGGAAACCATCGATCGTCTTGAGGAATGAAGGGGATGACATGCCCAGATCCTTAAGAGTGATGGAGATTCAGATTGAAGTTGGGAAATGAGGAAGAGTTTTGATGTAGAGATGAATGGAGCGCATCCGTGCAGCAGAAGGGGGCGTTAATGGAAAGCAGACTCTGGTAGATACCGTAAAGTGCAACAGGAGGTTCATGTAAATGATGCAGACAGTCAGAGATGATCCGATACATTTGAACTCGAAACAAAAACAAAAGTGTGTTAAATATTATTTATATAATAAATGTGTGTGTTTATCTCTCTCTCTATCTCTCTCTCTCTATATATATATATATACATATATATATATATATATATAAAAGAGAGAGAAAATACAGAATCTACTAAACCAGAGGCTTGCCTTAGGGTACAGAATAAAGAATAAATAACACAACATGGAAAGGGAAAAAAGCTGAGCAATGGCCATGACAACCTTCAAGATGATAGATGGAGACATGGTCATTATGGCAAGGATGTGATAAGGTTAGAGCAAAACCAGGGAACATAGATATGCGAAAGACTGATGAGACGTTAGTGCCGTGTGACTGATTAACAGAGGCCAAGTGTGGAAGGGCTCAGAGGGAAAAGACAACTGAGGAAAACAAGGGAAGGTAATAAGATCAGAAAAAAGCAATTATGTATATCAGAGAACTCAGAACTAAATAAGCCATTGGAAAGGAAAATCAAAACTCAACAAACAATAATTCCAGGTGTAGGGAATACCCAGATATCATCAAGTCTGAAAAATAGTCATCGTGATTCAAGATTCAAGAAGCTTGATTTATCTTAGGTAAACTGCTGGTATCACATGATACAGTGAAGACTATATTGTTTTTTATTAATGTATTTATAGGACTGTTTAGAACAAGAAGAAAGATTGTTGGACTAAACATGTGTTAATACTTTTCTATGTTTTGATGCTATCAGACAGAAAGATGTCTGTTTGTTCCAACGGGAACATTACATGTTGGTGGACGGAAACACCATAAGAATTCAATCATCTTATTTCCTGCGTGCAATGAATTGGCTCTCAAAAGAAGTGGCCATTTCACCGGCACATTCTGTCTGCTGTGCTGAGACAAGCTTTCTTCTTTTTTCATAGACTGTATGTACAGGGCAGAGAGACCACCGTTATGGAAATTGCTGGTGTTTAGAGTTTGATGGGATAATTAAAGAGTTGTTTTATCTTCTTAAAGAATTGTTTTATGATTACTATTATTGTTATATACATCTAAAGTAAAAAAACAATAAGCTGTATGTATGTGGGCCACTTCTTACAAACACATTACATATGCATCGTGATAATGAATTTTAAAAAGTAAAATCTATCTTTATATGTGCAAATGATCAGTAACTTGTTTTCTTTCCCATGGTCCTCTGTTGCTTTGTTCTCTCATGAAAAATATGAACTCAAACTTGCAGCAATTAAGGCAACGGTCCAGTAACTGTGATACAAACAATTTCAACTTGCTCGATATTCTCCTTGATGTGTGCAACTGCATCTGCTATTCTATAATTGCCATTTGGAGATGACGTTTCACTGCATTTCACAGAAAACACACTCACTGCAGTGCATGAAATGTATGCAGTCGGATGTACATGGGACTTAAAATGCCGGCGGGTTCAAACACAAACACAAACTCACAGGCAGGCTCTTATAATTACTTTGGCTAATATGCATGCAAATTCCATCAGAGCCCTCATACACACTGATCCATTTATCAGCAATATCAATAACATGCATCCAAAACGCTGAAAATTAGCCCACTATGTAAACACCTCTGCCGCCACCGAGCCAGTAAAGTCTGCTTAGTGGGTTTTGCAGTTCAAAAATAGACAATTTTAGACACAAACGGTGCGTCCACACACAAATGCCGTCCATAATGGCATGATTAAAATGCCTGTGCTGTCAGATACACATACTCAGAGAAGCGGAGGGTCACAATAAGTGGAGCTACCGGAGCAGAGAAAAGAGGCGGTCTTAAAATTCTTCTTCCTTTAATCTGTGTCCGCTTGACCAACACAGCTTAACCTTCCATTCATTTATTTATTCCACATATTTTCTCCTTTGTCCTTCTGTCCGACATCTCACATCCTCCCTCTTCTACCCGTCTCCCTCGCTCTCCCCCTAGCTCACTTTCTTTATCTGCCTGTACCCCCCTCCACCCCAACTTCACTTTTTATTCCTCCTTTGCCCTGCTCTTCGCTCCTCGCTTCTATTCCGCCATAATAGTGTTCCACCTCGCCATCTGTCTTCTCCCACCACCAACATGCCGGCTTTCTCGGCCCATGCACTCATCCATGTAATAACGGCCTGCACATGTTGGCCAAAAGTCACTCTTATCATATGAGCACTTAGATGAATCAATAGGCAGCCAGGAGCCACGTGTTGTGTGTTCTCGTATTAGTTGCTGGGGGAACATAAATCTCTTTACAAAGACATGTTTGTGGACTTGTCCTCCTTTAAACCACAAAAAGCTAGTCCCTGTAATGGAAAATGTTTAATCTCTGTTGACGGGTGGACCTAAAGGCTTGACCTGGCATGAAAATATCTCCACAGCATGACAGCGCCATGTTCTGGAAAGGACCATGTACTTGTTGAAGTGATTAGAGGCTTCATATGTCCAGATGCCTTTAAGAAACTCCATACTTATTTTACCTCACTTTTATATTCAAGCAACAACCCTTTTCTGTTAAGAAATTGGTTATCTAAGTTTTTTTTTAAAAAGTTGATAAGCACCTGAAGTGGATATATTTTGTATTCACTGTTGTGATGTTTGCCCAAGTTCCCTCATATAGGTCATGGTTACAGAGCTTCTTCTATAAAGATTTGTTTTTATTCAATTCATTCAAGCATCAGCATTCTACAAAATCCAAATCATAAAAATTGGGATTTTTTCATTTTTCACCGCATTGCACAGAACAATGGCTAGACTCCACACAAAACCAATCAATGTCAAGGATCAATATACAAAAGTTCATGCAATTAGGCAAAAATGAAAAGCTTTCTATATGTCAGAACAGCTAATTAAATCCTTTATGGGAGCTCTGTGTTATCTAGCTCATTTCCCTCCCTCTTCTTTGTCCCAAATTCATTCAGTAAGCCCACCTTTGTGGCGTGTTTAGCCTGAAATGGCTCTGCAAACACGCCGTGATCTCTGCTGCACAAATAAGCAGCCTCCTCACTGGTCGGAGTGTTTTGGTGAACTAAGCCTTTTGATAAGCCTTTCTCTTTCCACCTCCTAATACTAGTGTGGTTAGTGCTGCTCTGGGGCAACTTTTTTAAAACTGTTTTCCGTTAACCTGCATAAATTTGTACCTGGCCTATTCAGACAGATCCGTGGTCTTTTTTTCAAATCTTTTTTTGTGATCTTTGTT